GCTTCTCCGATTGTGGCGTTCGCCTTGATGTTGTCACACAAAGGGAAGGGACTTAAAGTTTTACGCTGTTTTTCTTTGCAGAAATACACTCGGAGGTTTGCCATTGCCTGTCGAGGGGCGACCGCTGTTAAGGATAAACCTTCTCTTCACTGAACAAGCACAACTTCTAGAAACACTAGTTTACTTATGTTTATGCATACAATATAAAAATTGCAAATATAGGAAAATGACAAAAAAATTGTTAAAATTTTTTTTATTTTAAAATAATCTATATATAATTGCTCAGTCATACGACTTAGTTAGGGCGATATGGTGCAGCTACAGAATTGAGTTGTATATCAAATTAAGTTGCTGCTTCGGTAGCATGAGCCCTGCTGTCTTCCTTAGGCAAGGTTGCAACTGCCTTTTATAGGTTACACTGGAAGGCAACCGTAGCCAGTGTCTGGAATATTTAAGCAGGGGTGCTTTAATTCGGTGCAAGCGCAGGGATGCATTTGGGATTAAAGGATTCGCAGGGATGCATCCTTCAAGTGGGCGAAAGTCACTTAAACATACATTTAAGTATATACTTCATTTAAATAAAGTGATTTGTGAAATATTACTGAAAGAAAGCTCTAATTTTTTATTATGAATAATTTATTCGAATAATGAACAACCTGATTTTACTCAACATGACTTTACTTAAACCTAGTATACTAATTCGAATATAACTCGATTTAAAATTTGTTCGCTGTTTTAAAAAGTAAATTTGAAGTATGACAAACTGCTACTATTTGCAAAATCCTAACGAACAAATTTTAAAATTCGTGAGAAATTCATGAGAAAAATAGTCACTTTGGGCCGTGTGTATTCTACATTAAGTTGGATATCTATCGTTTTTATCTTGGGCAAGATGAATGTTCCATATAAAGATCTAAACGTATCGTAAAACAATCTTTTAAATTGCGGTTTTCGGAGTAGCTCATTCAGTTTTCGCAATATTGAAATTTTTTCCATTTTGTTAGGTTCCTAGCGCCCTATTTTCGTATTCTGCTACCGGAGGAAGGATCTGAAATACGTATTTACATAAAAATATATATTTACATAAAAAGTTTGCGTTAAATCGTTCGAACACTAATGCTAAAAAGTTAAATACATTTTAGGAAGTTTTGGAAAGGATATACGATAACTACAACATATTAAGAGAGAACGGAATGTTTCAACTTTCAATTGTTTTTCACATACAATATTTTAACAAAAATTTACCAAAATGAAAAAATGTACCTGTCTACCAAACCAAAATTGTTCTCCCAGTTTTGGTAATAATTTACCAAAGTGGTAACACTAACTATGGTTACTATTTTTGTCTGCAGCTTACATGGAGACGTTACACTGTGCGGCATGTAGCCTGATTGTTTTTTTCTGCACGCGTTGTTTTGTGTATTAGTTTCGACACAATCTATATATAATACCGACGGTGACAGGTAATAAGATCAACGGAAATAAGGTCAATTGACTTTATTTCGCACCAGGGTGGTTTTTAAAAACGAAATAAAATCCATTGAAATTATTTCTCTTTCAAACATTAAATTTGCTTAGCTTCGCGGCGGCCCGCGTCAGCGCGCCACACCGCGTACCCCGCGCGACCGGCGCGCACACCGCGTCACGCTACGCCGCGGCCCCCTCCGGCCCCTTATCCGTCTCCGCCATGCTGTAACGCAGGTAGATTTATTTTTTGTATACATTAAAATAAAATGTTTATATATTTTAAACAGAGAGCTGCATGGATACACTCAAATTACATTTTAAGTCACTCGCTTTCTTTTCACATCTGCACACAATCGCACTCATTTATTTCCAAACATAACGTGCGATAGCATTGAAAAAACATTGTCGGTTGAGTGAGTAATTCACACTATCAACTGCTCGATTCAAATAACAAGTGCTTGATTTGAAAAACAAGTGCATGGCATAACTGCTGTAATGAAAGTATCAAAAAAAAAAAACATTTGTAAAGACAATTTTTGTTAATTTTATTGGTTTCCTAACTGCATGTTATAATGCAAAAATATCAACTGATTAAGGGCATCATCATTTGACAAAAGGTGACATCTTTTGTCAAAAATAACATTTCCAGCAGAAGAAAAAACTCTTTCTGACGGTGCGCTAATTGAAGCGGCATTTCGCATTTGTGTACCTCCCACTAATTAATTATATCGAAGTCCGTATGAAAATATACCTCAATATTTTCTTATCGCCGCAGCTCTGCAGTAGCTTTATCAGTTCTGCTCACAAAGGCAGGTTGTTTAAGAAGACCTGAAAACAGCTCAAAGTTGTCTGCAGGGGTTTATCCGCAATTTGTGGTTCCGTTGTACTGTCAGAATTCTCAGTTAACGTTCTCATAATTTGTAAACATTTCTCTTTTGTGTACCTTTGCTCAGATGCGGTAAAGTTCTTGAGCTCTTTTGCTGGCGGGTATAAAAAAAGCACAATTTTGTGCAAATCTTTAGTTTTCAACAGCAACTGTTTTTAAATAATAAAGCAACTTATTTTTCAAGTCCCTTATAAAGCCGATGTCTTCTGAGGTAACATTGCATTTCTTTTGTAGACTATACCTATAACTATATAAATGTACGTCAGGTGCATAACTAAATAATTTAGTAAAACTAATATATTTTAAAAAATACTTCATCAATATCATTTTTTTCAAAATTTTCGTATTCTCTACTAATTGTTTGAAGTCAATGGGTGTCATTCGATTGCTCAACTTGCTTTTCATAACAGCATTTTTCACTCGCTTGACTTGATTTGGAAAGAATATATCAACGCCGTATTTGAAATCAAATGAGTACACTGCAGCTAAACATTGATTTCAAAACTAACTATGAATCTCACTGTTTGTACGGTGTTTCTCACTAGCCTTTAGATGGAAGCGAGTAAACTCATGCTGTTGTCCGATTTTAAACATCGAGGGCTCATATTCAATAATACCCTCTATCTGCACACTTTTCACAAAGATGAGATTCTGATATAAAAATCCACCTAAGCTTTAACTGTCATCAGTGATATTAATGCTACGTTATATAACGACAGGTAATAAGTCCCAGATGGTTTCTAAAATCACAAATTAGTTTTTTTGCAAATTGCAGATAGAGGGTATTAATGAATCCAAGCCCTCGATATTTCACATTTTTATATTTGTAAGTTATTGGAAGCAGGGATGCCAACTTGACTCAAACCATGCCATTTGTCCCTCTTTTACTTCAAATGGCACTTAATTTTTCAATTTGGCACAAAGTGCCAAAATGGCACTTTTGTAAAAAAAAATAACATTTTAATACATTTTTGTGAAATCCTATGCTAGCACTTCTTTTTCTCAACTAAAAGTTTCTAATTTATAAAGGCTATTCAACTGGTTTATCTTATTTTATCATTGCAATTTTGTTTGGAAAATGAAGCTTTATTTTATTGCTTAATGTGAATGATTAAAAGGAATGACACCTTTTTTGGCACTTTTATTTTTCTATTTGGCACATTTTGGCACTTTTTTATCCTCAATAGGGCACCTCATAACTAAGGAGAGTTGGCAGCCCTGATTGGAAGATTTCTGCTGTGTTTTGGGGCAACAACTTGTCTGCAGTAAAAAAGCATATAATTTGTGTTTCAAAAGTGTGTGAAAACCAATCAATTAACTTATATGATCTCGGTTCCGATATTAAATAATCAATAATTGTTTATACCCACATTTTGGCACATTAGCTCGTTGAATGTGCCATCTAATAAATAGTGTCGTCGTTCTCCTTAGCTGCTTTTAAATGATGTCGTCACAAATTGCTGACGGAGACATGAATACAGTGTAAGAAAATTCTTTTTCTATAATTGTTTCCTTATAGAAAGGTTGGTTTCTTTTCCACCTTAGACATTCCGAAATCGTTCAAAATATGCTAATGTAAAACACAGAATTCTTTCAGTGTTCCTCCGGGGTTTTTGGACATGGACTGTTTCTTCAATTTAATAGTGTTCGCTTTATTTTTGTGGAAACGAAACATGGTTTGGAAGTTATGGATCATTTCTACACTCTTTTTTTCAAATATTTCTCGTATTCCAGCTGTGCGCAGGCGTTTAGTTTTTCACATCGTGTTTTTGCATATTCGTAATATCCGTTTTTTTAATAAAATCAATTGGTGGTAGTTCATGATTGGATTGTGGATTGATACCACACTGAGAATTTGGCAATAACCTTTTTCATGTATTAAAATACAACACTTACGGGGCAATGTTTATTGTAAGAACCACATTTTTTTCTATGAATCGACATACTTTAAGCATTGTTGACGCTATTTCCATTTGAATGAGGAAATAGCGTCAATGACTTTATTTCCAAATTTTTGTTGACTTTATTTCGCTTTTGAAAAGGTAATAATGTCAATTTACTTTATTTCGCACCAGGGTGGGAAATAAAGTCAATTGACCTTATTTCCGTTGATCTTGTTACCTGTCACCATTACCGACGAATATATTGTATTATTTTTATATGTGTTTCCAGTTCCAGTAGAAAGTACAGCACCTGTATACAATTTCAGGAGTTTCAACCTCCACATTGAAGCAAAAGGGATACGAAATTTGCTGCCACAACGTCGGCTATTAATGTAAGGTTGTACGATAAATTTTCAAAAACCCTCTGGAATTCTGTTCCCACTTTAACAAATGGCGCCTTTTGACTTCTTTCGTTGTAAAAGGAGTCATCATTGACTTGTTAAAACATTTCCTTTCGAATTTGGCGTCTAATTGTATTTGAATATATACTATGGTTTAAAAAATAGCTTGCATCTGTTGGTACGAATTGTTTAAGGGTTGCTTTTGTTTGAAGGCTTTCGATTTGTTTGAAAGTTCCGTTTTTCTTGTACATATTTTGATGGGAATATCTTATTACACATTACACACGATTATGAGAAGAATACAAATTTGTTCGATAAAAACAACGTAATCAAGGCTATATATTCTAATGTATTTGAACATTAAAAAAAAAAATATCCATATAATACAATACATGTACATGTATATAAGTATCTATCTATAATAGTAAGTATATGATATATGTAAGTATCTTGGAAGACATGTTTCAACATTATTCTTAAACTAAGCACAAACACATGTAGGAGATGCATTTGTATGTACTATTCTTAATCAAATATTATTGTATATATTTTTATACTAAGATCGTTTTGGAAGACATTTTTCACGTTACAATTTGTATAGAACATCTGTTTTATAATTCTACACATATCATTTGGAAGACATCGTTTCTTATTTTAAATTTTGCCATTTTGACTAATTGTTAAATGGCTATAGCTATCTTACTCTAAAGATAAAAAAAATTGTATGAACAAATTAAGCATCTAAATTACTACATACGTATATCCTGCAACAAAAACGTCACAAATACTATGAATCAATCAATTCTCCGTAATAATATACCAACTGTCTATTGAAACTTTTACATGTGATTAACTTAAAGTGTGTCACTTTCGATTCACGTAATTTCGAGATAATTTGCGCTTTACCATTCCCATTTTAAAATGGTAGCCCGAGTTCAAAAGCATTAATTAATGCATTTCCTGAGTCGTATATGCCTATAACGCCGAACAAGACTCCGAGACTGATAATGAGGTAGTCTTTTGCAACCTCCTTTTGATCTAGTAGATGACCCTTGATTTTTAAATGGAAATAACATGGCCAAATGAAGCTCAACATGGTGCCCGTAAAACTACCAATAAATCCCATAAGAATTGAAAAATGTGGAATGAAACAGGCCATCATAATCGTGGAAACTATTACACCTACCCGAAATCCTAGTCCCCAGACTTTTAATTCCCCGTCCAAATTCCATATTGTGGGAAATTTCGTTTTAGGCGGCCCTCGAAAAAAGTTTCGTTCCAGTAGTTCGCATGCAGCATAATATGGCAATGGATAACTGAGTATTGCTTTTATTACTAAAAAAAAATTTACTAAACCCTTGAAACCCTGTGAGTGCAGATTGTTTGTGATGACTTGTTGTGTGTCATCTTGGAAAGTTAGAAAGCAGATGTATCCAAAGCCGGCTTTGAAAATCGCTGCTGCTATATGCGACCAATCTAACATCCAGTTGAATTTGGAACGATCGACCATACTGCCCTCAAGGGAGGGTAAAAATATTTGCGAAGTATATGAAAAGACAATGACACCCAACGAAATGGGGAAGTTCTCCATATCAATGCTCCATCGTACTTTGGACCAACCCCATTCTCCAATCTCTAATATGCAATAACCGAGAATAATGGCATTGATAACAATGTGGGACATGGTACACCAGAATGAAAGTGTGGATACCATTTTAAGTGATTTCAAAAAACCCATTGGCAACAAAAATATACCTACAAACATCATCCAAGATCTGGAATCAAATGAGCCCTGAGGATAAGTGCCCGCTAATAGATCACCACACACAACTACATAAAGAATGCAAGTCATTAGTAGCTCAATCAGTTGCGCAATGCTAACAGCACGAGCCCCCAGTTTTGGGCCAAAACAGACCTTTGCGATTGCAACGTAGCTGTCGCGCACTCGAATCATTTGACCAGTATTTGGGTCGGGTTCGTATAAACACTGCACCAGAACTTTTCCCGTGTAACAGCAGATATAAGCTATGCCAATCATTGCTATGATGGCCCAATAACCTCCGTGCAGCACTGCGAACGGCAATGATACGATGAACATTCCTTGAATGGCATTAGTAACATTCCATGCAGCCTGATATTCGTCGATGTTTGTACCACCGCCTCCTTCGCCTTCACACACGAATGAGCTACCCTCAGACGCAACGCTTCCTTGTCTGAAAATGTAAATGAAAACTATAAGAATAAGAAAAACAACAAGTGTGTCTTGAAAAAATGTATGTATGTATGTATGAAAATGAAATTTATCAATTGTACCTAATTTAGAAATAAGAAGTCAAATGTACACAAACCGTTAATACATGTATAAATATTTATATCGTCATTAGGCACGAATAAAGGCGCAAGCTCAAAAGTTGACCGCGAAAAAGTCACATAAAAAAACTTCAGCGAAGAAAGACCCTTAAAATAGTCGACGGCGAAGAAAGACGCGTTAAACTATTTGACCGCGAAGAAAGATGCGTGACCTTATATTCGCGGTCAACTATGTTTGCGGGTGTAACAGTATGTAAATACGCCCAAAGAGTTTTTGAGGAATGATGCTGAAGTTACAATCCTTGGCCTGGTATAAATCTATATTTACGCGTCTTTCTTCGCCGTCATCTACGTCACGCGTCTTTCTTCGCCGAAATTTTTCTTAAGCGTCTTTTTTCGTGAATTTTTTTAAGCGTCTTTTTTCGCCGTCAAAACACTAGCGCTCCTTTATTCGTATCTTGTGACGATGTACCTGCCGGAAAAAAGTATTGGTACAGTAAATTTTTCACAATATATGCAACAATATCTATTTAAATTTTGTTCTGCTAATTTTTTATAAAAATATGGTTCATTCTACAATAAAAAAACATACAAATATAATTTCTAAACTTCGTGCAAAACTCGCGAAAATTTTATACATTTTCATGCAAGTTTTTAACTTTTTAATCAGATTTTTTGGAATTTTGTAGCCCATTAAATTGTAGTATAAAAAATGCAAGTTCGGTTTATTTTTGAGAATATTTTTTGGTGGAGGTGTTTTGCATTTTTTCCATTCAAAGTATTTTCGAATTGTTATTTTTATGGAAGAAGCTGCGTGGAAAAAAATTGCCAAAAATCAAAGGTAAGTCGTTGCTACTTCAAACTTGCACTTTGTTATAATAAAATTTATTGGGCTACAAATCTTCATCCTCAAAAAAATTCTAAAAGATCTAATTAAAAAGTTGAAAAATTGCGAGTATTTCACAGAGTTTGGAAATTATTTTTTTTATGTCGTTTGTTGTAGAATGAACCATATTTTTATTAAAAAATAGCGGAAAAATATCGGAATAAAAATTGTTGCATATATTGTGAAAGATTCGCTGTGCCAATACTTTTTCCGACAGTGATATCGTAATACGAAGAGGACCTGCGTCAACGGCATCACGTCTAATTTTGGGACCCAAAATAATATAGTACGTCTCACGAGCTCCATTCAAATTAGGAGGAGCCTTCTCGAGCCATTCGAGACCAAATGATATTTTAGACAAAATAACTAATTTTCGTGCGACTTCTTCATTCCTTCTAACCAAACCGTCAGTATAGAACTGGAGCCCAAACTAAAACTCCTATCATCAGCCAATTCTTCAGAATTAGATTATATCCTCGGTTAATCGGCCGCTGTGGTGTAGTGGTAAGCAGTGCGCGCTTCAACTCCGCAACGCCTGGGTTCAAGCCCTGGTCAAAGCAACATCGCAAAAATATAGAAAAAAGGTTTTTTCTTAACAGCGGTCGTCCCTCGGCAGGCAATGGAAAACCTCCGAGTGTATTTCTGCCATGAAAAACAGCTTCTCATAAAAATACAATCGCCTTTCGAAGTCGGCGTAAAACTGTAGGTCCTTCCACTTTGTCCATCGGAGTAGAAGCTCGGCCAAACACTAACATATGTGTAAGCGCCAATCTATTATTATTATTAATGCTTTACTGCTGTTCATAATGTCATTTTGACCATCAATCAGTACAATTCCACCCTTTCTGCGACGATGGAGGTATCCAAGAAGGGAGGGTAACGAATTTTACGAGATTTTGTATGACATGGATGTAGTAAAAAGTATAAAAATAATGCACTGGACAAACGCAGGAGGATCTGGCAAAATTTTTTTTTTTTTGTATTGAATATATCGTCGATGTTTTTGTAAAACCGCCCATCGACCAGTTGAAAAACCGCCTTAATCGACGTTGTGGCCAAAAGGAGATTTCGTAACCCTGAACTGCAGGCATCGATATTTATGCATAAAAATCATGATTCAATAACGAAAGGTTTTGTAAGAAAAACTTTCTCTCGCTCTAATTTTATCAATGACACTCCCCCCCTACTCCTAAAAACAAAAACAGTGATATTTCTTTTCCAAATTTCTTTGCAGGTTTTAAGAAAATTTTTAAATTTTTAGTAGTGATATTTTTATTTTAAATTTGAAGAAATGGTTGTTCTTCATTCGCTGGCGACAACAAGATAAAATGATTGAGAATCGTTGGACTGCAGAAATTCAATGTAGGCTAAGGAGACGAAATTCCCTTAAATGCCGAAATGTATTTGTCGATATTCGTGGAAACCTATTGATTCTGCCAAGGCGCTGTAAAGTAAAGCGCGCAATGGTTCTGGTAAATGAGTCAACGAAAATATTTAGGTATTGACCTACTCAGCACAATCCTGCAGTGGAATTCTGACAATCGCTACGCTAAATTTCCATCGCTAAAATTCTCTAAAAAACGAAAGCTACAAATTTTTTCTTTCCACAACAAATGTATAAAAAAAAAGCTGCAGTTAATTCCGTTGTAACCTTTTCAATATCTCAATACTGTCGTCAATGGTGCATGGTGTCAAGTTTGCACTACATACTAAATTTTGTTCGAATATGGGTCAACTCAATTTTTTCCATCAAAACGAAAGCTACAAATTTTTTCCTTTCACAAGAAATTTTAAAGTTAAAAGCTAAAATTAATGGCATAGTAACATATTGGATATCTAAATTCTATCCACTAGGTGTATGGTGTCAAGTTAGCACTGCATACCATTTTTTCTTAAAAAATGAGAGCTACAAATTTTTTCTTTCCACAACAAAAACACTACAATTAGTGCTAACTTGACACACGTTCTCATTTGGCGATGTAGATCAGGTCTCCTGTCTCAGTCGTTCAGTAGCTGCGTGTCCCTTTTACTCTTCCTGTCGTCCGGCACGAAGCGCCAATCGCGACTGTGCAAGCCAATGTTTAATATTCTGACGGCGGCATAATCTCCCCAGAACACTAAAAGTGCAATATCAAAGAATCCGAATTACCATATTCGAAGCAATCGAGCCATAAACGCGAAAGAAACGTAAGCTACAAAATGTTTTTATTTGTCGTTTTTTAATCATAATTCCACAATTTTTCTACAAACCAATAGCTTTTTCATATCCATCTAATGTACATGGTACCGCACAGAATTTACAAGGCAGACAAACAGTAAAAAAATAGCTCAAAAGGGACCATCCATTCTTTAGTTATGCGCCGTGCAACTTTGGTATATTCATGGCAAAATTTATTTTTAATAACATAATAATTTAAATAATTAAATAAAATTCGTTTTTGTATTAAAATACCACAATGCACACATTATCCATGCCATTTGTAGAATTTCGCTACCATTTAGGAAGTGTGATGGAATTCTTTCCCTTTTTCTCCTTCTTCCAAGTACCATCCCTGCGGGTAGGAGTGTCAAATTTTAGAAAATAGCTACTTACAAAACCTTTACTAATTGAACCATGCATAAAAATCATGAAATCGTTATTAAAACAACAGATTTGTAGCATAATTGCTGGAGAAAATACAGGAGGTAACAAGGTATCACGGCAATGCCTTCAAAGAAAAACCGTTTTTTCTCTCCTGTAAAATTTGGATGCCTTAAGATAGGCGGTTTTGGAATTGGTCGATGGGCGACTTTGCAAAAACATCGACGATATTATCTTCAAATTTAATAAAATTATAGTTTAAAAAACTAAAACCTCCCTATTAAAATTTCCATTCGTACTGTCATCATGAAATCGCTGCATCTTTTACATAGTTACATTCCGAGCTAATAAAAGCGAGGTAATTGTAATAAAATAGGGCTGAAGAGGTACAATTGTGCCTACTTTCCTGTCACTGGTACATATATATGTATGAGTATTTAAAACACTTAATTGCTAAGTGAACGAATTCGTAAAACATATACATGTCTCAAGTAGCACACTGGTGTATAACTTGGTGTAAATTTGTGAATTTTGGTACAATTAATCAGATTTATACCAAAATTCGTAAATTTACACCAGTGTGTTACTTGAGTTCAGTGTTGTCAGGTCTTCGACATGAGAAAACGTCCCTCTTGGTCAGAAAAAACGTCATTTCCTACCCAAAACGTCTTTTTCAAATGTCTGCATAAAGAATTGTTCTTATTAAACTTTTATTGTATATAAAGGTACATATGTGTGTTCGTATGGAATAGTAGCTTATGTCGAAAGGTTGACTTTAGTATAAATCGGCATTGGCAGCATATGATTGCGAATGACTCACTGGCGCAGAGCCGTTGAAGAACTATTGGCCAATAAACGTGCATTAAATAGTTCCCATACTAGCAAGTCAATATTCTTATTAAGTCTCATCAAAAAAATTCCTTGTCCTTCAAAGCATAAAGAGAATGCCGCATTATACTAAAGCCGGCTTCCCGACATAAGCTACTATTCCATACGAACACAGATATGTACGTAAGATATATTAAACGACAGAGACCATTCAAAATTCATTGTAAACTGGTTTGAGATCGTTAATATAAAAATAATTTTATACCTACACTTGTGATCAGCTGATTTAGTCATCAACGTTTTGATCGATTTTGGCAGTTTCTCTTTTGTTTATTTAATGTTTATTATTTTTCCATAAAAGCCTAGCTCATTATATAACAAACAAAATATAAATCCACATTTCGAACTTTGTGCAAAAATTATAAAGAATCTGCAAAGTTTCAGCTAGATTTTCAACTTTTATTCAGATTTTTAGAATCTTTTTGGGTATGCAGTTTTAAGGTGCAAAAGAATTGCGTTGATTTTTAACATTTTTTTTTTTCTAAGACATTTGGTTAGGTGGTCGGTTGTCGAAAATGCTAAATTACGTTCTGCTAAGAAGGAACACA